GCTCAAGGATGGAGGCATATTGGCATGGCTTGGGGAGACTGAGGCCTTAAGAAGACAAGTGGGCCACAGGCTGGAGAGTTTGGAGGATGGGACACAAGAGAGTGGGATTTGGGGTGTAGAAATGAGGAAAGACCAGGAATAGTGAAGATGGCAGACATGCAGGCTACCTGTAGAATCCTTAGCATGTGTACAGAACCCTCTATCATTCCATTATTTAATCTTCTAAGCCTAGATTACTGTTGTGATGGTTACACATACAAGAAAACTGGCGTTCCAAGAGGGAATTGACTCGAGGTCACATGCCTAAGAGAAGTGTCAGAGCCAGATCTGAAAGCCAGATCTTTGGGTTCAGGGCCACGTTGCCTGTCCTCAGGAAGAGAAGCATGGGAAGACTAAAGGCAAGGATCTATCATCATTAACCATCCTTCTCCCAACCATATCCCCAAAGCCATCTTCTGGCCCGTAGCTGGTCCAAGATAGGTGGGCATTCTCTTTCATGACTGGGTTGTGGAGCTATGTGCAAATCAAGTGACCAGAACAAACACCACCCTTGAAGCTTGGGACATGTGTGGTTGGAGGTGGAGGCTTAAAGGGCAAGGGGTAAGGAGGACAAGGCACAGCCGAGAGAAGGGGCAAGCTGACAGTGCTTACCCTGTTAGTTGCATGTTGTGTAGCTGGAGTCTGGAAGACTCTGGTTTCAGTCAGAAGGGCCAAAGGTCAACAGATAGGAGTGGACCATGCTGGGGACTTGAGAGCATGGAGAGGAGAGGTTACAGACAGGGAGAGAGGGCTTGTTCAGCAAGGAAAAGGTGGGAATACACCAGAACCTGTGTTGAGGAATATTCTGCAGTTCTCTTTTTCACCAGGAATTTGGAATGTCTGGATGAAAAGCCAGGAGACTAGTATGGAGTTGGGAATGGGTGGGGAGAGTGTCGCCATCCATTCATGCCCAGGCCTCATCAGGTAGCGGAGGAGGAGCCAGAGTGGCAGCAGTGAGGAGCCCTGGGATAAAAGAGAGACAGGAGCAGAGAAGCCCCAAAGTAGCCAAAGCCCATGCGGGAGAACTTTCCTGAAGCCAGGGAAGGCTCTCCTGGGAAGATCCTGAGTGGAACTTGAAATGGCCATTGCTCCAGCTATTTCTTAGGAAAGGGTCTGGGTCTGGACAGAGGAGGGAGGAGGGCTCGATGAATGAGCTGTTCCAGGAAGATTTACCATCCCTATCCCCACCATCCCCAGCTCTGCCCTCCCCTCTCATTTTATCGAGTGTCTACTGTGGGCCAGGCACTGTTTCAGGTGCTTGGGCTACATGAGAGGAGGGGAAACCCCCAAGTTCCTGTCCTAGAGATTACATCCTAGTGAGGGGAGACAGACGATATGCAATCAGCACAATAAATAAGTAACAATATTATAGTATGTCAGAAATGCAGAGCAGGGTAAGCAAAAGGAGGGAAGGGAGAAACTGGACCTTCCAGGAAGGAAAGAGAAGAGGCAAGGAGGAGGGGAGTGAGTGCATCTGGCTCTGAGGAGGGTCCGTGTGAGAGATCGGGCATGGCATGATGAGCTGGGCTTTCTTTGGAAGGGGAAATGCTAGCAGTGTGGGAATTGGCAGTCTGGGTTTGGGGAAATGACAAAGGGGCACACCTGTCCAGCCATGGAGGGGAAAATGGGGCAATCTAGGGCCAGCTGGGGGTGGCCCACCCTGCAAGCCTATCGCAGGCCAGCCCTGTGGGGGTGAGCAGTGCAGACCCAGAACAGGAACACAGAATCCCACAGGCCTGTCCTCGGCCCAGCTGTCCCGTCACTCACGCCCGCTGCCCATTGGTTATTTTTGCTATGGAATGTGCCAG